TTTTTCAAAGTCGTCTGCCAATCTCTATATTATATTATAATAATAATATGCTGCGAAGGCGGCCGCTACGGGTTTTTTTTACCCTTCTTCCGCCGGACGTGTTCCGAATTCGTTCCGGTAAAATGGCCCGGTCGCAATATCGTTCCCATCCGATTCGCGGTATATTCGCGTCGAAAATACTATTGCGACGACTATACTATACCGTATCACTCGGTGACCGCGATGATAATATTATAATAACCGATAGGAGTATTTTATGTCGTTAAAATCGGCCTTTTTTTTATAGTAATATTCAAATCGACCAATCTAATTAGCCGTCCGTATAATATGGTCGTGTTAAAAAACCGCCGCATTTCCGCCAGTTTAAAAATATTTTGTACACAGTGTATATTAGATTATACTATAATGCATAAATTAAGATCTTAATTTTAAAAAATATAATAAAGTTAAATATTTAACTTGTTGGTATATTATAATCAGAATGTTTGATTAATTGAATTAATTTGATAAATTACAGAATGAGGGCATGACGAAAAACGCCCGTTAACCGCGCCTGTTAAAAAAAATTATTTTTAATTATTTTATTATTTTTTTTAAGTGTTAAAAAAAAAATATAAAAACATTGTTCATTGTTAAATTCGATTCGAAAATATAACATAAGACTACATTAAATAAAAAAATTTTTTTTCCTCAAATTTAGCAGCCTGTATGCTGGTTGGCAGCAAATCTGTATTCCTCTCGCATTCCTGCTTTTCTTTTTAGTTTGCTAATATCGAACTCTATATCGTGGATATAATGATAATAAAGTTATCTCGTCCTCCCAACAGTACAAATTGTTTATGGATTTATATAGTGACAACGCAATAAATAACATGACTAAACGTTCAGTCGTTTGTCATCCTTTACATCACAGCCTGTCGGACCCAGTGACATCGATGTATAAAGTCATCATTCCGCCTCCTTTGAGGTTTCTACCCAGAAACCGATACAATATAATGTAGATACATATATAAATAAGGGATACGGATTTCAATGCAAAGTGCATTTTTTTTTTTTGGTGGGTGGGTGGGGGCTCTAGGACAATGCATTTCAAGTATATTATTATTTGATCCGTGTGTGATAGATACATTGAACATAAACATTCGATTTTGCCGTTTTACGGCTTTATAGTCGTTTAATTCATTTCCAGGCTATTGATATTTTATTTTCTTTTATACAATCTATCGATTTGTGATTGACAGTATTTTTGTTATGCTCTAGGACAATGAAGGCATTATTCGTGTTCTTTGAAATCAATGTAAATTTTGTAATTTGAATTTGTCTTGTTTTTACCGCGTGGTTTAAGGTACTTTTATTTTTCAAATAGAACGTATTTTTCCAGAGCGTTTCTCGAATTTTTCTCGCGATCAAAGTCAAATCGGCATTTTATTACGCATCGATACAATCAAAGCTCGCGTATTACACGTCTCGGAAACCGGCGAGACCTTGACACTGATATTTTATCACTTATCGTACTCGAATTAATGTTTAAAACCGTTTTATTTTCCACCCGTTGTTGTTTATGGCGTATAACGATGTGTAGTAGTTAAATAAGTATATACGTATGAAATAATATATTACACGGCGTTTTCTGTCTATTTATTTCGAATAAAATTCCTCTCGGGTCGTGCACTTTTAAACCTCGTATTTCTCTAATGAAATTCCTTACTACTGTGAAGCGTGCACTTTATATATATATATATATATATATATATAAATATATAATATTATATAAGTGTTTTATCGCCGCACGCTAATAGCGAGACGGCTCGTCGAATTTCTTATTCCAGGAGGTACCTACCTATATATTATACACCGCGTGTAATATACGGCGATTGAATATAACGCAATTTACTATAAAAACGCGTAACGCAAAAATTTAACGTCCTAACTCCGGCGTGCGTCGATGTTTCGGGTTTTATGAGTTGTAGTTTACTCGCGTACTGCTAAAAAAAAAAAAAAAAAAAAAATTGTGCACGCTTATATCGACGGACGCTCGCGTGGTACCCGGCCGGTGGTCCGCAGATCTGTCGTAGGTGGTCCGTTAAAGTATTTAGTTCCCAAACGAGAAAAAAAAAGTCTGATAGCGGTGACGAAACAACGATTACTATCACGTCGCTTGTTTGTTGTTGTTATGTTATTATAAAAAAAAGTTCATAGTGAAAAGAAAAAAAAAAAGATTGGTATACTTTGCACGTGGCTACAGCCACTTTTCTGTAGGCGGAAAGCTGGGAAGGTACGGTACAAGCGGGAATTGAATGTATATCTGTATGCAACGATAAATTATTAACAACGAAAAACGATTCTGAGTGGAGTTAAGTTCATAGGGTTACTTTGTCAACAATATATGCAATATTATGATAAAATGATTATAAAATGTGCGTTTCCATGACACCTATGATTGTTTAAAAAAGATCCTAAAATAATAAAAACTTACTAATAACGAAAAATAAATAAAAACGGTTGCCAACCTTAATTTTAATTATTCAATCTTTTCAACTTAAAGAACCAGGTTTTCCACGTTATGTCGAAGATTAATGAGAATTTCAAAAAATTACCTCTCTAAAGTATCACCCTGAAAACATTTTCTTTCAAAAAAGGTGTTATACTTGATAATCGGAGTATGCTTTCTAGTAAAAAAAGTCTTCACATAAAAACAAAAAAAAAAAAAATAAATAAACATCATTGTGAAACCAATACATTCCACTCGGAACCTAAAATGGAAAAAAAAAAACATAAAATATTTGAACAAACGATTGAGAAGAAAAGTACACTCTAGAGGTGAAGCTGCTCGTGTATGTGATTTTTTTTTAGAATTTTAACTTCAAAGCTACTTAGGAAATTGGACCGACTTGCCCTCCAGGCTAGGAAACTCGGATGCCACTCGTATCTAATGTTACGCACGATTTGCGATGCATCGTTTCAGCGTTTGCGTCGGCGAGCAGCTCGATTACATCGCGGTATAATTATTATTACCGATAAAACGCGGTTAGTGTTGTAGGTGTATATTACGATTACGGTTACCGCGGTTACCGCAGACCTATCTGTTTTGTCGTCGCCGCAATAATATATTGTCGCGCGGCCGGCCGAAAACCGCTAAAGTCCGCGACGGACATTGATTGGTTCGCCTCGCGTCCGGTCGTACAAACGCGATTTACGTTTGTCGCGGCGGTTTTGGTTATTAATTTTCGTCGCGAAAACGCGGTTCCGGAAAGGGAAATCTCCAAAAGACGCGGAGATTATTATTATTCTATGTAGGTGTACGCAGGTATAGGCGGCGGGTGTAGGTTGCAGGTGCGCACACGCAGTCTCCGCGGGGAAACGATATTTATGGCCGTTATCCGGCGACGGCGGTCTGTCGCGGTTCACCCGGAACGGAAAATCGTTTTCATAAATTCCCGTCTTAAAAACAATTATTGCTATCGTTCTGTACAATCGATTTCGGATAATAATAACGTGCCCGCGTATTATTATTATCCGCCCGCCCGCCCGCCGAAATTTATTCGAAACGGCGACGCGTAAAAGCGCGCGCGTATAAATTATCCGGCACACCGCCGCAACACGATTTCGACATAATCGTTTCGGTGTTGATAACGAACGTATTCTTCGTTTGTTTCAGTTTCCGAGTGTATAACGAAAAGAAACTACATAATACTGTCTATGTACTATATAATTGTTCGACAAAGACGCTTTTCCTCTCCTCCCCAACCACCGTCCCCATCATCGGAAAACCGTTTGGCGGTCAGTAAACGTGCTCAGATTTTGTCGTTGCCCCACGCACCTTAAACGACGCGGACTTTTCGCCGCGACGCGTACTTATTAATCGATCTATTTTTCGATATTCCAAATATTCTTTTCCCGAGAAATATCGTTTTTTGAGGATTATTTTTCGGCGAATGTTCCAATTTCTCAACCGCAATATCTCATGAGATGTTGTTCGGTATACTTTATTCCAAACATTGATCGAAATAATTTTCAGCAGTGACTTATTTTCGTATATTTTTTTTATTTCCGAGTTTCCTTCGTTCATTGGCAACTATAGGGAAAAATCGACTAAGAATACTCCGCTCAGAACTTTTTTTTCGTACGCAATGATTTGTCGTTGCATACAGTATACAAATTAAATACCTTCTCAATTACCTACCTACATCAGTGGTTTTCTCTTGAACATTATCACCGTTTTATATCTCCATTGTAGGATACGTTCGCACTCTAGGACTATCCAGTCTCAAAACCAATTCCGCATCTCTGTCTTGTATGGATATTCGTATACACCGACTAGACGGCATGTTCTTTAAAAATACGTTACTATTACAATATGGACTAAAATTTCTGGTAGAGAACGAAAATCGTATTTATTTTTTTATTTTTTGTAATTTTTCGGTTTTTATAGGCTATATACAGGGTGTCCCACAATGATGTGCCATTTGTATACGAATTTTTGAAGTCTTTACAAATGTGAATATTATCTATTGTAGTTACTATATTACAATACTTAATCAATTATTATTAGGGCACAAGATAAGGCCTTTTTCTTCCATGAGTTAATATTATGCGAATATATTATCATATAATATAAGTAATGGATATTGGAAAAGTAAATCAATAATGGCCATTTATGTTGATAAACAATATTGTTATGGTTAAAAAAAAAATTATTCAAATTTTTAAAAATCGTAGAAAATGGAAGACCATACTTTAGCAAACGTTAAAGTATGATCAAACCACCAGACATTTTCTAAACATCTATTTTACAAAAAGCTATTTTGAATTTTTTTAAAAAAATGTTAGTAAAATTTTAATTTGTTTATTTTAAATCGCCCTCCTTTAAAAACAAAAACTGTAGAGGCATACTTATTTAAAAAAAAATGTAAACATCAAAGATATTCAATAGAACAAATGTTATTTCAAGTGGCAGATCAAATTGGAAAATCAAAAAGTGATCATTTCAATGCGACACTATGAGAGATGAGTTTAAAATGAAAATAAATATTAAGAAAACAAAGATCCTAATAAGTAGTAGACGTGAAGAAGAGAGACTAAGAACAACTAACATCGCAATTGATAACGAATCATTGCAACAAGTACAAGAATATAAATACCTAGAAAGTTTAATAACGGCAGAAGGTACTAGTAAAAAAGAGATAGTAAGTAGAATAAATCAGGCAAAATGTGCATTCAATAAGAAAAAGAACCTATTCACCCCCAGAAGGATAGATATTAACATCCGAAAGAATTTGATTAAAACATACGTGTGGAGTGTGGTGTTATATGGTAGTGAAAATTGGACGATCGCTAAAGCAGAAAAAAATAGATTATTGGCTTTTGAAACATGGTGTTGGGGAAGGATGCAAGGAATAAGCTGGAGAGAACATATGACAAACGATGAGGTATTCGCAAAACCTAAAGAACAAAGATGTTTCATGAAAAGTTTGAAGAAAAGAAGAACCAAACTAATAGGATATATACTAAGACATAAGCCTATTGAAAAGAATTATGGAAGGAATGATAGTAGGAAAGAATGTAGTTGATAGACCCCCTCTGGACTACTTACAACAAATAATGAGGGATGTGGACGTCCCAGGCTACAGACACACGAAGAGGAAAGCGGAAAATCGGGAAGAATGGAGAGTTGCAACAAACCAGCGTCACGGCTGCTAACTATAAAAAAAAATACTAGTCCGAAATTTTGTTGACCGAACAAGATTTTTGTTAGGAATAAGTAGGTAGTGCACAGACAGAAAACAAACATCGCGTACATCATATTAAAACCAATAAAATGTTTATTCATCTATAAGCTGCAACATACCTATGTTCAAATTATTTTTCATTTTTTTTTTTTTTTATTCATGTTTATACGGGAAGTTTTTATTTACGATATTATATATATATATATATATATATAAATTTTTTTTATGTGTGTTAACATAAATCGAATACATTGATGTTTTTCGAAGTTTTCTTTTTTGACTATAGGCTATTTATGATGGCTCGCGTTTCGTCGAATGTGTCAATTGATACATTTACGTAATCAACATACGAGTATACTAATCGTATAATCAAAAAATACCGCGGTGTATTACAAATATGGAATGTATAAATACATATTTACATACAAATACACAATCATTTACCGTTGTACCTACGGTCGAAGCAACTTTTATTAATTTATAGTGCATTGCAGCTGCTGTTTCACTGCATGCACGTTTTTCATGTTAAGTGTGTATACGCCGCGAGTAATGCGCATTTTCGTATTAGTATACCAACGAATTATTATAAAATATATACATACGCGCATTTAATTATTTCGGGATTAATGTCCGCGAGTGTTAATCAAATTACATTGTGATTACGTGTATGACTGTGCAGTACAACCCGTCGTATATTGTATAGAAATTATTATAATTTATTGAAAAAAAAAAAAAAACACATCGCGACGGCGGTGAACCAAAAAAATAATATATGTACGTAATACGTTTTTGTACTGTTCTCCATCGAAAAAAAAATCATTGTTTACTAATAGAAATTAGAAGCGAACGAATGAAAATCAATTTCTTTTCTTTCCGAATAAGAGATATCGTATACCGCTTGCCTTTGCATACAAATTTTGACTTAATGCGGCACGCCTCGCCGCCACCGACGCTACTCTATAGAACGGAAGGTTCTTCGATTTTTCGATGCGGCTCACGTTCTTTTTTCTTTTTTCTTTTTTATTGTCCTTTTTTTCCCTCTTTCCGTCTAACGGTTTTTTCTGTCGATTTCGGGTCATCCAATCGACAATCTTCTTCACCCGCTGTCTGTCTCTCGAAACCATATACTTCGGATACATAATAATAGTATTATCGTCGCGTGGCGAGTGAATGTTGTCGGACGGGTATTCTTATGAATTTATCAGGCTGTTTTTATTATTTAATATTGTTTACCATTTACTCTCCGATTTTACCCCGGAGAAGCTCTTAGTTTTACAAAATTGCATTTTTTTCACACGCGAAAAAATCTTTTGTGTCTAGTAAAAATATTGTGATTTTCTTATGTCATATACCTTAAAACACTCGGACTTTTTTCCCGGTGGTACATTTTTCGATCAGTTTTTCAACGTCTCCGATATATTTTCTAAAAACCGTTTTTATGGGGGTTTTTTTTTTTTTTGTTTTAAACACCTTTTTATTTTAGCTATACTTATAATCCGATTGTTTCATGACGATAAACACGGAATTTCTGTCCGGTCGTACTTTATTTAAAACGAACACTCAGCAGTTCATCCCCTATTCACACGACTAATACTACTCCGATCAAAATCGTTTTTATAGCAATAATTTATCGTAACATACAATATATAAATATTATATTACCCTGTATAATACCCTATACCTTCCTTAACTATTATAACTGTCTGTCTATCCGCGAACAGTATTCATTTTTTTAAAACTACGTAAAATCTCACAAACATAAAATATCTATAAATAGTTCAAAAATAGCTTAAATGTTTTACAAATTTAACCACGTTTAGAAAATGCAAACATAATTTGCTTTTCCGAATTTCAAGTCTCTATAGGTCTCTATATGTTCAACTGAATTAAATTAAAAAACAAAGTTAAAAATAATAAATGTCGTGAATTTTCAGGTTTTTCCTGCATTTTGTCCAATTATTATGAAAACCGCTTAGAAAATAAAAAAAAAGTGACCTCCTTAAAGTATACCGCCCAAATAAAATTTTCTTTCAGAAGAGTGGGCTACATTCAAGACATCGGACCAGGATTTCCGGTAGATAAGTTGTTTACAGGTGATAAAAAAATAAACATCGTCGTAAAACCAATACGTTCCTGTTTTGAATCTAAAAATAAAAGACGAAAAACCGAGTTAATTCGCGTCGCTAGGAATATCGCGTATAAATATAATATTGCAAGGGTCGGGATTATCGTGTAACATTATAAATATAATGTAGCGGCGGCGGCGGCGGCGTTTCCGTACGCTCAGAGACGCCTCATTCCTTACAGAGTGTGTAAGTTGGTAAACTTTACGAATAGAATTCAACGTTTTGAATATGAGTAACAGTCCTACGCGGTATGTATATGGATTGCCGTTGTAAAATCGGTATTGTTATAAATTATATTATTGTAAAGGACTCGGAATAATACGATACTCGGATCGCGATACGTGTCACAACATTATGCGCATATTATAAAACGAACCGAGAACAATGGGTACGGTACAGTGTAAGCAGCACGGGTGTATCGTGTTGCTGCCGTGACAAAAAGATCCGTGTCAAAATTTCGTATTCAATTAATGAGACGGGAACGGAGACGCCTTGCCGCCTTGCGTACCTGTATGTAAATAATATGTCACAAATATACTATATAATGCGAGTGCATATTATTATATTCGAGTCGAAAAATGTAATAATTTATCGAAATAATACGCGCTCGCATATACTCAAGCGAAAACTACGTAGTAATATATCATATCGAGCTAACCTCGTCTCGTATAAATAATCGGTTGTTTTCGATTCCGATGTGCGTTCCCCCCCACGGTATGAAAAACTTCAATAGTAAAAAATTGTTTACACGGTGTACATTACAAATTATTACTCCACAGAGTTTTCGTCCGGCGGTACTATTGTAGTTCAAACAGTTTTTGTGGAAAACTAACAAAAATGAACCGGTTTCTTGGCTATACAAACAAGATGAAAAAAAAACTATGAGAGCTCACCTACGGTTAACCGAATTCCGCTCAGAATTGAGTTTTGATTGCAATATTTATCATCGTCATTCTAAAATATCAACTAAATTACCATAATATATCCTATTCTATATATTACTCGTTAACTTCCTACCTACGGGAATTATCTATTGTCTGTCTTCTAATTTCACATTATCATACGTATCCTCTTTACCGACAGTGTTTCTCAATCATTATGGCTTTGTTATTGTCGCTGAAATGCATTGCTAAGATTGCTGATTTGTTCGTCTCGGTTTGAATTATATTTTGGCGACTCCCCTCCTCCCAAGGGAGTCGAACCCCTATGTTGAGAAACACTGCTGCACAGATTTCGTTACTATGATAATACGACGATGTGATACGAGTTGTTTTATTCGTTCGAACCTTTCAAACATTCGATTATTCCGTATGTAAAGTAAGAGGAAAAATAGTTTTCGATAGACTGAATATTTTAATACATACCATTAGATTATTATAATATCTTTGCTCTTGTATATATGGAACGTTCAGGCGTCATGGTGGTTGAAATGTTTGAAACCCAGCTAGTCAAATAATATTGGCGCATCCGTAATAGGAATACAAGACGCGGAACAAAAATAAATGGAAATATTTGTGCTTTTGGATTCTATGTAAGGGGTGAAAAATTCTTTTTCGCGATTTTTCTACTATGGCGGGCGTTTTTTCTTTTTCCGCCGTAAACAAGATTACGACTAAAATATTTATTCCGATTAAAAACCTCGTATAAAATAGTTCTAGTGGTTTTACGGGTTTATAATATAATATTTACTTAAATATCCATTAGAATTGCCGAGGTTTTTTACATTTTAGAATTTTTTTTATCGGTTTCTATTGCAAAATACCAGGAAATAAAAAATAAAAAAAATTTATGGGCCGGAAAAAATAACGTAATGTTACGGGTTTTGTTTTACTGTGATGTGTGTTTTATACCGGAAATCTCGCTCTGATCATCAACTTTACGGGTGGTATCGAGCAGATGTATAGGTGCCATCAACTTGAGATTCATCGAGGAGATATCTTTCTTTTTTTTTTTTTGATTTTCCTAGCGGTTCTCTTAAGACCACTGAAAAAACGTAGGAAAAACGATTTCGATTTGTGGCCCGTTTTTGTTGTTGTTCATTGTTTGCGTTCGGGATTTTAACTAACCGATGTCCTATACGCCCATAGAACGCGGTATTAGATCGTTTTTTTTTTACTGATAATTATTTTGCACCCTACGCGAAGGCGAGTGCATATTTATCGGAAGTTTTAGACACAATGATCGCGAAATAAAGCGATACGAATTAGTGTTTTTTATTTTTCGCTATACGTGTAATTTCGGTGTACGCATTTCTAAAATTACCAATTCGCTGGTACGCATAATTAATAACGTAGCTAAAACACTGCGTGGAAATACACAAAAGAATAATTACAATCATATTACGGGAAAAATATTTATATGTATTCATCGAAATCCCATCGCGATTCGCAAAGGGTATCGCGTATAGAATTTAATGAATTAATATTATACGCCAAAATTTTATGAATAATTCCGTTAGTTTTCCAATAGTTGGACTTATTGATCCACAGTTCTGGACATCTGCCGGCCCGTCATTTTATTATCCGGTTATAAAACGCACATTGTTTTCGTATATTGTACGCGGTACGAATTACTCAGGACCTCGGCATCATCGACTCGAATTTTATATAGTTACAGGGTTGTATTTTTTTTATTTATCGTAAACCATAATCATAATCATATCTATAACATAATGCGGACACGTTAGAGTAATTCGATATTGTTTTTTTTTCTTTT